TTGTTACTGGACAGGGGACCTGGCTCTGAGCAGGTCTGCCTAGGGTGAGCCAGTAGTGTGTGGGTTCTTGGCTTCGTGTAGGAAAGATTTCACAATATAAGTCCAGGTGACTTTGAGGGTACATTTATTAAAGCTGGGACAGTGAAACAAGGAAGGGCTTAACATGGAAGAAGCAACAGGAGAGCCTAGGCTGTGCTGCTTTAGCTCACAAGGAACTCAGAGAAAAGGGGGCCTTGGAGACAGGTTCAGGTGGTTAGCCCAGGGTAAGCCGCCACTGCCATTGCTCCCCTGGTTGCAAGTCTTTTGGGGTCCTCACAGCTTAGGAGATGCATGCCTGTGGGGAAAGAAGAGAAGGGAGGGGATGGTGCCAGGGTGCTCCTCAGAGAGACAGTTGCACTCTGAGGCCCTTTGTTTTAAGGATTTTATCTCTCTCTTGCAGGTGGGAATTTTAGGGGAGATCTCAGGAGAGGATTTCAGCAAAATATTTATTAGCTTTCCATGTGTGCCCTTTCAGGGTCATGGTCTCTACTAATTAGTCAGCACCAGAGCAGGGGCTCAGTCATTGGCCATTGCAGCTGGTCCAGATGTCACCCACCTGGTTTTGCTGCTTTTCTGGGCCCGGAGCTGAAATACAACTGAGGCCTAGATGTTAACTCGAGGGAGGTGACCTGTATCTGGCTGTAAGTTGCTTGACCAGTTTGTTCAGCTACCTGTCTCAGTTTCCCCATTCTATTTGCCAAGGAATTTTCCTAGCTTCTTACTATACTGTCTCACATTCATTTGTTCATTTGGATGTAGGCAATATTGCACACAGCTAAGCAGTTTGTCTTTACAGTAAGAACCCCAGCTCTGCTTTTACAAGCTGTTTGCCCTTACAAGTGTGACCTTGGGCAAGCTGTTTAACTTCTCTGTTTCTCTAGTACCTGCTGTATAAAACGGGGACAATAATAATGCCCACTTAATGTAGGCAAAACATGCAGGCTAAATGAGGTAAGCTCAGTGTCTTGCTTACCATGAAGTGCTCAATAAAGACTTTTTAATTTTTTAATTATTTTTTAAAATATGTCTTTATTGATTTCAGAGAGAGGAAAGGAGAGGAAGAGAGAGAGACAGAAACATCAATGATGAGAGAGTCATTTATCAGCCTCCTAGTCCACAACCCGGGCATGTGCCCTGACTGGGAATAGAACCCCAATC